GCAGCAGCAGCAGCCGCCGCCGCAGCAGCAGCAGCAGCAGCAGCGGCAGCAGCAGCAGCAGTAACAGTAGCAGTGGCTGTTGCAGGAGCGCGAGCAGTCGCAGTAGCAGTGGCAGTACTTCTCATTACTTTCGTCAGTATGTTTAGCAGTCAGTCAGTCGGTAAGTCAGTCGGTAAGTCAATCGGTCAGTCAGTCAGTGAGTGTGTGAGTTAGTTAGTCAGACAGTCAGTCGCTTAGTTAGTTAGTTGGTGAGCTAGTGGGTTTGTGAGTTAGCTAGCTAGTGACAAACACCAACACCAACCAACAACTATCAACCATCAAACACCACAACAACCGCCACAACCAAAGCAACAACAACAACAACGACGACCACACCAATACCACCACCACCAATACCACCACCAATGCCACCACCAATACCACCACCAATACCACCACCAAAACCACCACCACCAACAACAATAACAACCACGACAACAACAACAACAACAACAACAACAACACCAACAACACCAACAACACCACCAACAACAATAACAACAACAACAACAACAACAACAACAACAACAACAACAACAACAACAACAACAACAACAACAACCCAGACAAAGAACACACACAAGTATCACACAAGTACAAGTACCAATATTTCTAGCAGTACTGTAGGAATACTGCTGGTAATACTCCTTAACATTCATGATTAGTCTTCAGATCTTCATGATCGAAAAACGTTAATAATGAGGAATGACGGTTTAACAGCAGAAATAATACGACTGCGGGGGTTAAGGATTGCTTACTCCGTTATGGGTACAGATGCACGCTACTGCACCGGAGCATTTTTTGGCTGAAAGCAGAGGGCCTCGATGTTCTTCTCGGATCCTGTGGTGCTGTTGGCCCGGGATGCATGAACCATAGCCTGATACCTCAATCAAGGATTTCAGGCATGCGAACGCAAGCCAAGTAATTCTGAAACCCCGAGGGAGCAATCTTGTGACCGTGTTTGACGCTGCATTCTTGCTATGTCGCCATACACCCTAAACGCTAAACCCTAAACCCTAAACCCCTATAGACCCCTAAGCCCCCTTAACCCTTAACCCTAATTGCGCTGGGGACGACGCCCGAAAGATGCAATGCTTGGAATGTTGCTGGGGCTCGGGGCTCCGAGCAAATCAACTTGGGTTTAGGGGTTCAGGGGGGTTTAGGGGTTTGGGGTTTAGGGGTTTAATTAGGGGTTTAGGGGTTTACGGTTTTGAGGTTTAGGGTTTAGGGTTCGGGGGTTCAGGGGTTCAGGGTTTAGGGGTTTAGGTTCAAAATGATGCTGCGGGTCATAATTGAACTTATTTATCGCCCTCTGCAGGATGTAGGGTTTGCACTTGGCCGGTGGATAGCAAGCAGAACTTCCTGTTTCCTCCAGAGCAGACCTCGAAGCCTAATCGCTCAGTGACAATTTCGCTTGTCTCCCGCACTCCGTCTGTATCAAGTCTGTCTCTGTCCGTGACATTGTGCCTCCCTTTCCGTGTGTCAGTCTGACGGTGCGTCGGTGTCTCAAGTCTATCAATCTACCCATCTGTTCATCCGTCGTCTCCCATCTACAGCAACATCGTGATGACACCCTCTGCTGTCGCAGCTGAGGCACTGCTTCGCAAGGGGGGAGAGGAAGCGCACGGGCGACCAGGACATGGGCGAGTACCTCCACAAGTCTCAAGCTATGGCCTTTGAGTCACAATGCTGGCACACACTATACGCTATATACATCTCTGTATGTGTGTATGTATAAAGGTAAGTTACCCACATCTTTTATTTAAGACATGTGTATATATCTATGTGCAACACATGTATGTAGGAAGGTACAATGTATGTACAAACAGATATGTATATATATATATACATACATGGAGAAAGTGTCAGATTGGTGCACTGGACTGCAATCCGGTTTCTGCACAGAGAGCTTCAGTCGCAAGTTGGGTTGGATGTGATGGACCGTGGTCATCTGTCTGCATTTCCATCTACTCGTACCGTCGACTATAGGTGCGCCTGCTGTCTCCCTTCGGCTTGTTCTCCAGGATCAGCTGGAACAGGCTAGTGATGTCGGGGCGAACCTGCGCGGTGCTTCAAGCTCCAAGCCTCAAGGAATGCGTCCTGCTTCTGACCTGTGAGCTCGATTCGTTCGGACAACATCTCTATAGTTCGGCAAAACTCTCCGATTTCGGGCTTCAAGGAGATCCCAGCAAACACTGGATGGCGTAAACCCTCAGCCCACTGAGCCTCAATCTCACCTGCTTCGAAGGCATTGGCCAAAGCCATGCCAGGATCCAGCATGCTCCTGCCAAGCGAGCCATACAGTAATCATTATAATAACAAGTTAACCCCAAGGAGCACTGTTGGTAATTATTTCGAAATCGATATTAAACCATGTACGTGGGCACTGATTTCGATTCGGTCGATCTTGTCCACCAGGCGCCTTCCCTTTGCTATCACACTAAATCTCACTAGTCGTGACTTCTGCATCTAATATGACGTCTAGTTGTGCGAGCAGCAGCCGGATCAGCAGAAAGACTAATAGTCTTCGTGTTAGGAAATGCACGAGCAGTAGCATCAGGAGTAGCATGAGGCTTTAGGATTAAGTTGAGTATGAGTAGACGTATGAGTGTGAGTAATTAGGAGGGGGAGAAACTGTAGTAGTCGCCGTCGCGCAACTACTCCCAACCGTTATCACTACTACCAGCATTTTGTACTACTAGTTATTCGTTCATGTGCTTTTTCGTAGTAGTACTACGGCTACGACGAAAGCTGCTGCCATCATGCAGACGGCAACGATTCATCCTGTGTTCGAGCGTGTGTTTGCCTTGTTTGCTTCCGCAACCATCCTCGTGTCAGTACTCAAGCCGTCATAATGTTCTCAATACGATGCATATATGCATCATCCTGAATGCTAGCGACGACAAGACGAAGCGAACCAATGATCACAGGCTTACCGTGATCTGCCTGCGCATGAGTATAAGTAAACCGGAATAAAGTAGGAATCTGTTGAAGGAACCTGTTCAATAAACTCATGCTCTGAACTCCCTAAACCCTTATTTCACTCCCCGAAGCAAGCCTTAGAACCACTCCGGCCTCCACAAGAAGCGCTCACTGCGTACTCTCAGCTCCACAGCGGTGCCATTCCTGTGTTTGCTCTTGCAAGGTGCAATGTTTGGGTATTGGTAGTTGTGCACTTCAACTTTGAGAACTTTCAGCTTGATTTAAGGTTTTAAAATATCTCTAAGTCGCGAGTCCTCTTCTTTTAGGGTATAAAGCCCAGGAGTCAAGGATCAACAAGGAGACCTCGCAAGATGCAGGTACACAGCCCATTGCATTGCTGTAGCAGTCCTCTCAGCAATTCAGAACCTACACGATGATATGTAAGCTAGGGGTTGAATGTCCGTGTAACCGGGAGTACGGCACGGAGTGATTTTCTGAAATGCCAATCCTAAATGGGGCTGCGGGTTCTGAAGCCCAGCAACTCACTGACCTAACTGGGGCTACAGCAGCAAATACCTTAACCTTATCGCAATTACAGCTGTGCTCGTTCTACTGTTGTACAGGTATGTTTTTCCTTCTTCTTCTACTTCTTGTAGCTTCTACAATTAATAACCCCCCTACAAAATGGGACGCCAAGATGCCCATCTCCGAGAATGCTCTCGTCTCCATCTCCGAAGACAACCCGCAATGCTCCCTGATCCAAGGAAGGCGGAATCAACTTCAGAGCTTCGGCACCAGAGCGTGCCTAAGGGGATGGGTGAATACCACATCTTCTATTATTATGTTGCCTTCTACTGTTTTGTGTTAGGTTATTCTGTATTATGGATATATGTGTTGTTTGTAAATGAAAGCCCGAAATCGATGCGCAGGCTTTGGATTGAGTGGATTGCATAGCACGGGGCTTGGACCGCGGCACATCATGTGCTTAAATGTTTCCAACACCGACACCCACAACCCGGGACCTGAGACCCTGGGAGCACTTAACTTGCGTAAAACCCGGCCACCCGCTGCCCTCGCCCCTGTCTCCAAAGCTGAAGAAGCCGAGCCGAAGTGCCTTCGAGATCATCTGCTGCAGCCCTGGTTGAAGCGCAAACGACCACAGCTTCCTGAGCCGCACATGCATACATGCATATATATGTATGCATATGTATGCCGAAGAAACATACACACTGCACACGTGTTACATTTATACATGCACATGCCCATGATTGATCTACATGCATCTTACAATGTGTGTTGGCGCAGTCTCTTACTCAGTTCGACTTAAACTAATAAGCGTACACAAATCATATGCATGGATGACCATATTCACCGTCTTGTGCACATGCAGGTATGTATGCATGTACTCATGTTGTCCGAACATGTCTGAACATATGTATGTACATAGCGGCCAAATGTATTGGTCAGAAGAAAGTTGGTCTGCCATGGGATGAATTGGAAGACAACCCACGGCCACAGACAAAGACATCTGGCAGCAGCACATGTCGACTCCGCACACTCGCCAAACCAAATCAAAGCAGGTTGTTGCACGAATCCGAGCACGACATCATCGCCACAAACCGGGTCCCACACCATACTCTGCCTGAAATACACGTGAGATGTGTGTCAGTAGTAGCAGTAGCAGCAACAGTAGCAATAGGAGTAGTAGTGGAAGTAGCCGTAGGAGTAGTAGTAGTAGTAGTAGTAGTAGTAGTAGCAGTAGGAGTAGTAGTGGTTGTAATTGTAGTTGTAGTTGTAGTTGTAGTTGTAGTAGTAGTAGTAGTAGTAGTTGTTGTTGTTGTTGTAGTAGTAGTAGTTGTTGTTGTTGTTGTTGTTGTCATGCGCAGTCCCACGGGACGGTGTGGAAGCCACACCTCGGAAGCTGTAGCAGCTGCTACAGATCTGCTGCGGGCAAGCCTTGTAGTTTCACTCTCCGATGCCCGCCAAGGCGCGAGACTCTCGTGCGAGCGTCTGAATGAAATGAAATGTTGTTGTTGTTGCAGCTGCAGGCAGTCGCGGTAGTCGTAGTAGTCGCAGTTGGCGGCGGCAGCGGCGGCAGCAGCAGCAGC